TCTTTTTACTCCCTGCCCAATTATACATATTAGTATTAGAGCTGGCGAGGTACTGGTATGAAAAATAAGCATTTTACTGTAGTTATACTTGTGTTATAAATCTGCTATATAATTTTAACCATTTTTTCCCTTGAATGGGACTCATAATTTGTGCATTTTGTGGTTTTTCAATCCATTTGCTACAGCTGCAGTCCTGATAAGTGGCTCAATTATAACTATAATATTGGTCTTAAAGACTCAGTGATGTCTCATGGAAAACTTTGAAAAACATTCTATTTAAAGACAATTATGCTAAAATATCACATGCTCTCCATTTCTGTTCTATCCTTTAGAAATTATTACTAAGACCATTAGCATGACAACAGATTATTCTTTCAGTCTCTAAAATTCTTTAATTTCTGTTTGAGTTGTCGGTTGCTACATTCCCTAGGCCTTTCTCCCTTGGGGTCACCCCACTACCTGTGAGGTCATACAAGTTGCCATGTAGCTTTTTAAAGTACTCATTGAGTGCTGGTGACAATTTTTTATTTTTACTGGGGAGCAGAAGGCACAGAATTTGATGAAATGTAGGAATCATTGGAGACTATGGGGGAGAGGCAATGCCCTGGACATTAAAATTAGCTTAAAGCAGAGAAAGAAAACTGTCTTTAGAAATAATGCAGAGATCCATTTTCATTAATGACTGTCCTCAGGTAAACTCTGTCTTCTCCCTGCTCCCCAGACCAGAATCTAGGTTTGGGGAATTACCTGGAAAGAGGATATTCATGTTGCTGGTGAGGTCACAGGCCTCAATGTGAAATACTAATTTATTAATAAATATATTTATAATATATTTAATATATAATAAATATATAAGTAAATATATATTAATAATTATTATGTAAAGTCCTAGAGAAGGGATTAAGTCACTCTTGCGTTTTCCTTGATGTTTAGGTTTTTTTAGCCACACCAACTTATGTTTAAGTTTTTTTTAGCCACATCAACTTAGAAGTGTGAGTTCATTTAGCCATTCACTCAGGAAAGTAGTATTTTTACACTCTTAATTAGAATAAGGTGGAAAGAACCCAAGTGCTCAGGGTGGCATCCACCATGTGCATGTACAGTGAGGATCCATTTTATGCTATACCGTCTTAGTATTTCATTAAATACCACTTTCGCTTTTTGAGGAAAAATACCACAGTCCTTTGGTTTGAGAACTCAGCATTTGCCAGTTTAAAACTATCACTACCAATTTTTACAATCTGTTAGAATGACAAGATGATGTAAAATCACAGCGAAGGACAGGAGCAGACTTATAGCTGTTCATGAAAAAGAAAACAATGTGGGGGTTCTTTGCTTCGTGTGACTTCATCTCTAACTCGGACAGGAAACCGAGGTGTGCTTTTGACCAAGTCCTCCGATTGTATGCTTTCCATGTGCCATCCTGTTTTGGAGTGGTACCGTTCACGGGCATGCCTCCAGAGCCCAGAAAGCTGGCAGCATGCCACCTGAAGAAAATGGAGCTCTGCAAACTATCTGCTACTTTGCCCAGCACAGAAGAGGACAGAGACTGGTGGCAGGGTTTGCCATTTAGGTCTTCTTATTACTTACCGTGTTTGGGAATGGGCCTTTGGCCCAATAGAGGAAGCTGCTGAGATGCTTAGAAGATGAACTGTGGCATTCTTTTCCTGGTATACAATTATAATAGAAGACATGTCTGTAATCACCTCATGTGGCTGGTGCAGAGATGGGGGTGGGAAGCTCACTTTTCAGAGTGGATAGTTGTTGAATTTTATGTTCCCCTGTTGTAAGATTTGGGAAAATGCCTTAGGGAAAATAGTGTCCCACAAAGTACATAGTTTATCTGACTTTAATGAGCAGTTTTCTGGAAAGTCATTTTAAACTTATATGATTACAGTATATTCTATAACTGCAGAAATTTCCCATTTAAATATATTATTAGGGGTCACTGCCTAATGTATTTGTTTAGTAATTTACTAATTTATTAATATTAACTGGACATCTACCACATACTAGCAGCTGCGCTAGGCGCTGCATATAAAATGGGGAACAATACGGTCTTGGAGTCATGGAGCTTACTGCTAGGGAGGTACACACAGAAGCAGGAAGTCATGATAAGGCATGGAAAATGGGTGTTTGGGAAGTAGAGGACACCATGGGAATATGTTACAGGGTCACCCAGTTGGGGAGGAGAGTGATGACCGAGTGGCTGTCAGCTCAGCCCAGGCAGCCAGTGCTCCAGTGAGATGGAGCATCTCTGACAAAGGTCCATGACTGAGGAGTATAGGAAACAAGGTGGGGGTGGTGGGGAGAGAGAGAAGATACACAATGCAGAGAGCTTCAGCAAGCTACAGTTCACATCACTGTGGCTGGGGGTGAGGCACTCATAATTGGTAAAATCCAGGTCACACCCCCAAGGGAATTCAGGATACCATTATCAGAAGAAAGGGGAGTAGATCCTAGACAGGAAAAATTAACAGCTGTCCACTAGAGCTAATGTTCTTATCATAAAAAATCTTAAAAAATCATAACTGAAGGAATATTTTCAGATACCTTTAGGAGTTTCATGTGCTCCGAGTTGATATAGTTTAATGGTATTCTTTGTAACAAACCTAATAATAAAATTCAGCATAAATTCATATATTTCAATTGCATATGTTTATATTTCAAAATAATCCTTATTTTTGGACTATATATTTATGTCTTCCATTTCTTTAAGAGATTAATGGAATAAACATTTTGTATTTTTAATATTGTCTGTTAAACGATGAGAAAGTTATAAATGTAGAGGGATGTGAAAGCACAAAAGATAGATTTTCAAATAAGAGTATGAAGCCAGTAAATACTAACAGTTTTATTGTCAGATTTTCCAGAGCTGATTATTCAGTGTATGTCTTGTCCTTGCTAATCCTAGTTTTAATGTTTCATAGTTTCTCTGGGTTGGTTTTTTTTTTTTGCACGTCTGTTAATAGGTGGCATAAACTCAAGAGCTTCCCCATGGAGTGTGGTGAATAGGTCAGAGGTGTGGGAAGATGCTGGTTTGCTCAGCTCTGAGGGTGGTGGGTTGGGCCACAGGTCAGTCTCTTAACTGTGCCTCTAGTCTTGAGCGTTTTCCTGCTTTGACTCCTACGTGCTGTAGATACGTTTATGTGCTGTAGATACGTTGGTACTTCGGTGTATGCCATGACATGGAAAAGGAAGGAAGGTAGGATATGTCCTAATTTTTTAGACAGCATTTATTGGATCTTATAAACAGGAAGATAAAGGAGTTTCAAAGCAGTAGTTAATATTAATGTGGTTCTTTGCATTTCCTGTATATATTTGTTCTATCATTTTTAGTTAGCGAATGGTTCTGTACCAAAGTACCAGAGTACAATTTCTAGTTCATTATGCCACAAGCAACTTGTTAAATGTGCAGTGTAAAATAAAGGCACTTAGAAATATAAAACACCAAAATTTATCCATGTGCTGGCAGAAACTTGATCTAATCAACTCTCTTTAATTACAAATATTTTTCTGTTAACTTATTCTATCTTTAATTAGACAAAAATATTTGCAGGCATTATATATTTTCCCAACTCATGATAGACTGTCTTATTCATTAGCATAAGAATAAAAGAAAAACTCTCCATCTTCTGGAAATTCTAATGATAATAAAAGTATAATATAGCCAATTGCCCTCATCCTTCAACAAAGCATAAGAAATAACTGCAATTCAGCTGAAAAATATTAAAACCCCAACTAGTTAAGCAGCATAAGAACTCTTTCCAATGGGCTCTTAATGACTTTGAGATGAGCAGGTGGTAGTGTCCTGGAATAGCAGATATTTTCTTATGATGGCGGTTGTTTTCCCCGACTATAAAAAAAAAATTCACTCGGGGCATAACAACATGCTGTCTGTTCCCAGAGCTATTCCATAATTGAGGACATATGATGATATTGTAGGATGTGGCAAACAAAGGGAAAATGAGCAGATACTTAGGTGCACAGACAGACATACTATTCATGATTCTCAGATAAGATAAATGACTGCACCTTACCTATTTCACTCAGGATTATTATGTTTAAAAGGATCAAGGATGACTGAATTATAGTTATTTCCTATACAATTCAGGCTATTGTCAGATCCATTCCTGGAAAATGAAAAAGTGACAACTGAAGCATAAAAGAAAACAACTCTTTACCTAATATCTCTACTAAAACGTATTTGATGTACGAGACACTAGATCCTTGAAGACCTCTTCCCACTTTGAGGATCTCTGTGAATTTTAATTTGATTATGAACGATCATTGTGAAGACTCACTTGTTAATGTCTGGTATTGACCTTTTTGTTGTAGGACATTTTGAGTTTTAACTATTTTGAAAGAAAGTAAAATAATAATACTCACATTATACACATGACTTTATGCTACTCTTAGAGCTAATTTATTCATGGAAATGTTGCGTGATTACCTAGCGTAAGCCAGGCTACATTAATAGTTAATGTTGGTACACGGCTGAAAGGCATGGTTCCTGGCTTAGAGGAGCTTGAAGTCAGCTAGTCAGTAAACAGCAATTAGAGATAAGGAAAATTGCTCTGTTGGATGTAGATGCCGGTGCTGTGGGATCCCAGAGGAAGCAGTCTCAGATGTGGGGTGAGGGTGGTAGACATCCTAGGAAGATTTCTCAGAGACGTTAATGCTTGATTCTGTGGTGTGAATTCTACCTAGCCACGTAGAGAGGGAAAACAGGTGTTCCAGAGAGAAGGAGAGGTATCAGCAGTGCTGTGGAAATATGAAACTTCATGGGCAGAAGCAAGAGAGAAAGATAAGAAACTGTACTGTAGAATGTATTGAAATTGAACTATATTAATTGCTAATGGCTATTTCCTGTCTTTTAATTCAGGTGAAGGAAATACTCACGACCAGATGTCTTAAGGAAGGCTTTTGAAAAAGATAGAGGTGTACAAAATTATTACGATGATGAAGAATCAAGTTGGCTTTGGAGAAACTGTATTCTGAGGATGTTGTTTGCTTTTGGTTAAAAAAGAAAGAAGACTACTATAGACAAAGCCTATATATCTGCATATATTATGGCATTGTAAATAACAATGCAGTTAAATTTACACCAGTCTTCCTGATGAGGCTTGGAGCATCTTGCCTTAGTAGACATGAGTGACCCAAGGCAGTCACAAGAAGAGAAGCACAAGCTTGGCAGAGCCTCTTCCAAGTTCAAGGATCCTCCCAGAATCATGCAGTCAGATGATTACTTTGTTCGAAAATTTAAAGCCATTAATGGCAACATGGGACCTGCTACTTCTTTAAGTGCTTCAAACTCCAACGAGGGTAGCGGTGGTGGTCCAACTAATGGTACCCCAGCTGTGCCCAAAATGGGCGTGAGAGCAAGAGTGTCTGAATGGCCTCCTAAAAAAGACTGCTCCAAGGAGCTGGCCTGCAAAACGCTGTGGGAAAGCCGATCTCAGACCAGTTACGAAAGTGTCACCTCTGTCCTGCAGAATGGACAGAATGACCAGAGTGATGGTCAGCAAGAGGAGCAGCTTGATCTGGACTTTGTGGAGGCAAAGTATACAATCGGAGACATCTTTGTTCATTCCCCTCAAAGAGGACTTCACCCCATAAGACAGAGAAGCAACAGTGATGTCACCATCAGTGACATCGATGCTGAAGATGTCTTAGACCAAAATGCAGTCAACCCCAACACCGGGGCCGCCCTGCACAGGGAGTATGGAAGCACATCATCCATCGACAGGCAAGGCTTATCTGGTGAAAACTTTTTTGCTATGCTCAGAGGGTACCGAGTAGAGAACTATGACCACAAAGCAATGGTCCCTTTTGGGTTTCCTGAGTTTTTCCCCTGTGATCCCGCAATCTCTCCCAGCCTGCATGCAGCAGCACAGATTTCTAGGGGAGAATTTGTCCGCATCTCAGGATTAGACTACATGGACAGTGCCCTTCTGATGGGGAGAGACAGGGACAAGCCTTTCAAACGGAGGTTAAAATCTGAATCTGTGGAAACATCCCTGTTCCGAAAGCTGCGAACTGTTAAAAGTGAGCACGAAACTTTCAAGTTCACATCTGACCTGGAGGAGAGCCGTCTTGAGAGGGGTGTTCGCCCTTGGAATTGTCAGCGTTGTTTTGCACATTACGATGTCCAGAGCATTTTGTTTAATATCAATGAAGCCATGGCTACGAGGGCTAATGTGGGGAAAAGGAAAAACATAACCACCGGGGCTTCCGCAGCATCCCAGACGCAGATGCCTGCAGGCCAGACAGGCAACTGCGAGTCTCCTTTGGGGAGCAAGGAGGACCTCAACTCCAAAGAGAACCTGGATGCTGATGAGGGCGATGGGAAAAGTAATGACCTCGTCCTTAGTTGTCCCTACTTCAGGAATGAGACTGGAGGAGAAGGTGACAGGCGGATTGCACTCTCTCGGGCCAACTCGTCCTCTTTCAGTTCTGGGGAAGGCTGCTCCTTTGAATCGTCTCTCAGTTCTCACTGCACAAATGCAGGTGTCTCGGTCTTAGAAGTGCCCAGAGAAAACCAGCCCATTCACAGGGAGAAAGTGAAGCGTTACATCATAGAACACATTGACCTTGGGGCCTACTATTACCGCAAATTCTTCTATGGGAAAGGTAAGGAAGAGCCTGGATGTTTGCATGTGTTTCTCAGGGATGATTTCTCCAGGGCCAGTCACAATGTTTTATTTTGTGTTGGAGCACCTTCCTCAGAGTAGTCCACTGGGCTTGACCTTGTTCTCCATCACAGGCCTTCCATTGCTGCCAGACTAATCTCTTCTTTTTAGAAATCCCCAATTTCCTGCCTTTGCTGTTTTGTAACGCCCCTCCCCATGTGGAGTACCTTTTGTTCTTTTTCTCCCTGCCAATTTGTGGACATCACGTCTTGATTTAGATTTTACCCCTTGTAAAAAGTCCCCCGTGATTAACTCTGTCCTTGTCCTATTTCTCTAAATAACCTTAGACTGCTTACAGTGGGTAATTCTATGGTTTCCCCTCCAGTCTTTCTTGTACTTTGCTCCTACTGCCTTGGTTGTGTTCTATCAAAGTATGAAGTAGCGTGATAGACAAATTTAGTTTTCTTACACTTCTACAAATGGGCTTAAATTAATGTTAAGATAGAAATAATTCTCTTATGGTGTTAGTTAGAAATTCTTTAATTCTGTGCAAAATAAATGATTTTTGCATTTTATTTATATCTTTAGGCTTGAAGGATGCATTCTTCAGAGGTCAGGTAGTTGAATCCTCAGCCTTTAAATAAGTGTCCTTAATTAGCCCAGGGACACAGAATCTGCTCCGTTTTAGAGACCTTCAAAGAAACAGGGTCCACACACGTCAGTGACACATGCCAATGAAACAGGTGGCTCTCACTACCTTGTTACTGGGTGCAGCTGGCCTCCTCTGCCCCTGCCTTAGAGTACCCCTTACTTTTCAGGGTTCTATTTTTCTATCTTCAGATTTGCCTGCCATCCCTCTTCCCCCTCTTAGGTATAACCTCGTGGGGCACCTGAGGAGGCGGACAGAGGAGGGCCCAGCCAGACTCCTCCTCCTCCTGTCCTTTAGTGAATAAACTATTCTGCCACTAGTGTGGATAACTGTGAGCCGACTGTACTGTTAATTTCTTTAGTATTAGTTTCTGGCTCCAGAATGTTTACATGTAATCTTTGACTCTAGTTGTTTCTTTTTCTGGGGCTGGGTCAGGGGGTAACTCAGACCTCAGGAGGTCACTCTGTCCACTTAAGTCCCTTATAACTGTGGTCCCCAACCCGTGGGCCATGGCCCGGTACTGGTCCATGGCCTGTTAGGAAACAGGCCTCACATCACCACCTGAGCTCTGCACCCCCTCCCACCCCTTTACCCCCCGGTCTGTGGAAAAATTGTCTTCCATGAAACCAGTCCCTGGTGCCAAAAAGATTGGGCACCTTACAACATTACAACCCCTATGAAAGCCTTTTTATTACTTTTCCCATGGACTGCACACTTAAAAGAATTTGTTTACCAGATAAATTGTGATTCTTAAATTAATAATTTCCCCCCTTCTGTTTTTGCATCAATCCAGACTTAACCGGTCTCCCGTAATCGTAATCTTATGACAACACCTAAATGAGAGAAATGATTCTGATGTAATAAAGCTAAATAAATAGACACTTGCACTGCAGCTGGTCATCACTTAGTGTGAGTTGTTGCTCTGTCCTCATACTGATGACATAACAGGTCTGAAATAATTTTGTCAACAGGTCTTTATTCCCTGTTGTGTCTCCTCTGCTCTTCGCTCCCCCTGCCCCATGTCAATTCTGGCTTCTGGCACGCATCGGCATTACCACCATGAGTAATTTCCTGCCAGCCAGTAAAATCAAAGAATCTCGGAGCTGCTTTTTAGTTTATGCTGTGAAGGTAACTGTGTTCGTGCAAGGGCAGCACGTTATAGAACACTGCTCAAGGTTGATCTCTAGGTGGAAGTTAGTTATTTTTGGAAAGGGAGACCATGGAGAAATAGGCTTCCTAATGAAGGTTGTTTTTATTGATAAAGCCATGGCTGCCAATGCTAGCAATAAAATAAAGTCTCCTGGATTTATTATGCCCTGAAATCCTCCAGTTATTAGTCATTCTGGCTAGCGAAGTTTTGTAAATAGTTTGTGATTCATCCTTTAAAATATCAGAACATAAAAATTATATACATGTTTATATTTATGCCAAGACTTATTGCCAGCATCTCATTCATACTTTATTGTACATCTTAAGTGTATATGGAATGAGAAGCTGATGCTTTCTGTGCCCAGGGTCACCACCAATTGATTCATTAACATCCCCAAGGTCTGTTCTGTGAGATGATTTCAGGTTGCTGCATTCTGTTAGTTTTCTCACTGCTTCTTGTAGATTTTCCTCTTGAATTCTCAACTGTCACTTCTTAATAGTTTTAAAGATTCCTTTGGAATTGATTTATGTAGGTTTGAATGTGAAATCAAAAGTAGGCCAGGTGTGGTGGCTCACACATGTAATCCTAGCACATCGAGAGGCTGAGGCAGGAGGATTGCTTGAGCCCAGGAGTTCAAGACCAACCTGGGTAATAGTGAGACCCTGTCTCTACAAAAAATTTAAAAATTAGCTGGACATGATGGTGTATGCCTGTAGTCCCAGCTACTCAGGAGGCTGAGGCAGGAGGATCTCTTGAGCCTAGGAGTTGGAAGCTGCAGTGAGCTATGGTAGTGCCATTGCACTGTATCCCAGGCAACAGAGTGACACCTGTCTCAAAAAAATAAATAAATAAAAATAAATAAATAAGACACGGGGTGCGGACACCCTGTGAGTGCATCATGGGCGGATGTAGACATACTGTTAGGCAGTTCAGGGTTGTATAAGGCTCACTCTCTGGTTTTGAGCTTTGCTGCAGATGTGTGAACTAGCCAGAAAACTAAATTCTAGACTATAGTTACGCATCACTTAATGATGGGGATATAGTCTGAGAAATGTGTCAGGAGGCCATTTTGTCACCGTGTGACCATCACAGAATGTACTTAATACAAAGCTAGATGAGATATATATACATATATTTATATATTTGAAAACCAGATGTCCCAGCAACATTGCTGAATATCAGTCATTTTCTCTAATTCAATTGCAATACCAATAATCAGATTTCTATATATGGCTTTGTTATAATCTTATGAGACCACTATCATATGTGCAGTCCGTCATTGACTAAAGCATCATTATGTGCATTACTGTGCTTTGCAAAGCCGGAAAAACAAAGGAGCAGGGCAGCAGTCCCTGAGGTTGCTTTGTCTTCAGTGTTCTGTGATTCTGTGCTGTGCAAGGTGCTATTGTGCCAGCAGAGGGGCTTAGGGGCCAGGGGAAGGAGAGGCCACCAGGAAGAGAATGAGGCTGAACCCTGGCTGCTCTGCTCTGCTCTCTGTCCAGCGCAGCTGTGAACTGTGCCCTGCCTTCTCCTATATTTAGCTCCTCCCTTGTGGCCCAGTGTGACTTGAAAGCGAAATTGGCTACAGTAGCATCTGCTAGTGCTTCTGCTGGTCTGTTTGTAGAGCCATGAAGGACCAAAGGCAGAGGCAGCAGCCCAGATTCCTGAGTGGAAAGGTTCGGTAAGGTAGAGGCCCCCTATGTTGTGGGAGTGGAGTCAGGCAGCAGCCTCCCACCCGGGCTTCACTCGCTGGACACAGCTATGTGTCCAGCCCTTCTATTTGCAAACGCCACAAGTTGCATAAACATTATTATGTTTAAAAAGGCCCTGGACAGACTAGCAAAGGTATGTGGTGTTTTTGCAGGTAGCTTTTTTCTTTCCCCTTTTCTCTTTTCTCCAAGAGTTTTTCACGTTGGAAAGTGGCTTTCAGGGATTTTTTGATACTTTCCAGAGTGCCTTTTATTTTGTTCTCTGCTTCAGGGCTTTGTGTGAAACTTCATTTTCAAAAGAATTAAATGGCTCCCAATCACTGGCAAGTGTTTAAAGTACAGAACTTTAATAATGTGGTTTACTTTTTATTGGGCAGTTAATGGGAAATGGCTTCTCTTTATGCTGAGGTGTATTCCTATGACACATAGTCACTGAAGGGCTGGTTAATAACTCTGTAAAAGGATTTATGCGGGGGAGTGGCTTGCCACAGTAAACTGTGTAGCAGCATCACTTGCCCAAGCAAATCCATCTGTAGCCTTCAGTGAAACAGCTTTTTTAAAAAACAGTGAGGACGGTAGTAAGCCTAGTGAATGCTCAATAATGTTCCTTCCTTTCGCTGGCAGTGACCGTGAAGAAACATTGGTGCAACTTGCCATACCACTGTTTCTCTGACGGACCTTATCATGAAAGTGCTATTCGCCTCTTCTCTGAGCTTTCCGTTTGTGAAATAGGCCATGACAAAGGGCCCCTCAGATAAGGATTCTAGTTGTACTTGACCACGGATCAGTCATGTGCGCCTCAGCGAGTCTAGTTTCCATTGTAGCAGAGCAGCAGGCTTTGCCTTCTTCTGGACCTATTTGGCACTGGGAGCTGCCACCAAACAATGGGGCTGTCACCAGCACAGTTAGAGCTGGAACTACACAGTAGAGTCCAGAGACACTTGTGGGTTCCTGCTTGATGATGAAGTCTTTAACTTTTTAAAGAAATATGCACCTCTTGGGTTACTCAGGAGTTCTAAAACTGTTCTGTGCCCTACTTCATGTCACACAGACCAGAATAGTTCTGGGAAGTGAAGTGAGTAATTTGGGTAAAGAGTAAAACCAGAGGGAAGAATGAAGCTGGGCCTCCCTGGTGACTCAGGAGTGCAGTGAAAAGTGGCTAAATCACTGTCTGAGCCTTTGGGAACAGTGTTTTACTAGAACCATTCCACTGGTACAATAATATGTGTTCCTGTGAATGTGTGTGGGAGGGGAAATAGCAAGATTGACAGTATATACCTTTTTCCCACTTAGAATTTTTAAATGGTGTTTAAATGTTATATGATAATAGGAAAATAAGAAAATGTAGAGAAGCAAGAAATAAAGTCTCCCCAAATCCATCAGCGATAGTCACCATTAAAAATTTTGTCTTTATCCTTGTAGGCTTTTTCTGATGCAAATAAATTAATGTAAATGGAGCCTACCCATTCTTGCTATTATTATAACATGGAACT